TTTATAATATTTGCGTATTCACTATATTAGAATCTTGAGTAAGTAACGAAAAAGTTTCAATAACCAATTCACCCCCCTCTTGGTTAGTTATTCTTGGGCTAACAGAGGGAAATGCATGTTTGAATGTGAGGGAGGGTTGTTCAGTAGCCAAAAGGGTTGAGAGACTTGTAACAAGGATTCCCGTGAAGGCTATGTAGGAAGGAGATGATGACTAGAATTGATTTGAGTCGAGACTGTACGCTTGCCGTTGCTATTATTTATTTTTACTAATTTCGTTGGTGAAGTCTTGCTTTTATTTTCTATACTTTTTGCATTCTTGCTAGGTATTGTTGGTGTAACAGTTTTGTTCTGTACGATAACAGTTTTGTGTTTCTCAGTAATCTATGAAAACAATTCAAAACACTACCGTGATCAAGAATGGAAAGTTAGTAAAGTGGTAGGAAAATGACATAAAATTGATGCCTTGCAATTAAACCACGTTATTGGTGTGTTTGGCATGCCATTTTAGGTAAAATGATAGATTTTTCGGTATTTGAAAGTGCAATTTGGTAGTGCAACCTCTTCGTATGCATGGAGATTCGATTGACGCCGTCGTACAAACTTATGCTTAATGCAACCCTCATTTTCAAACACGCTGGTTCTCCTATCTTAAGTTGTGATAAACACAAGTTAAATTAAAACAAGGTTTGGTTTGGGACAAGCTTATTTAACCTAGATCACTTTTACACATCTATCCTCATTGCATCTGTAGCAATTTAAAATGCTGACCATATAAGTTTACAGGAATTTTGAGACTTTGATTTTTCGCTTCTTATTTTTTTTTTAGTAAAATTGGACATTTATTAACATTTAAAATTATATCTAAAGTACAAACCTAGCCACTGTTTGGTGGAAGAATTTATAAACATATAAAAATAAGTGATGGATAAATAGATAATACTTGTAAGTATATTGCAATGTATGTTAAAATGTATTTTGATCATTTATAAATGATCATAAATTTTGCCCAACGAAGCTATATAGCGGCACATATATGGGAATTTTGTGCATACATTAATTAATGGACACAGTTAGTAATGGCGTATACTTGAAGGTAAAATTATATTCCCAGTTTTTGTTTATTATACTACAAATTAATTACAATGAGGGTCCTTAACTTTTGTTCATTCTCACACCTATGTCCTCAACATTTTTAAAAGTTCGATAAAAGTTTTTTCCCACGCTAACAGAATATTTGGACAGAAAGCATCATCAAAGTTAAGATGTGCTAATTAATTGAAGATTAAATATAATTTCTGTTGGAAAAAGTTGAGAACAAGTGCTATAATATACACCTAGGTTCCCTTTGAAGATCGTGCATGTTTGTCAATCAAGGATCATACTTTGACAACCGAAGAGATGTGGTTTTACTCTTTTTTTTTTCATTTTTTAATTCATATGCGAGCAAAGTCATAATCATCATCGTCGTTAGTAAACATAGATAATCTGCTAGCTTCACTATCTTGTTCTCTGACCAATTAAACCTCATTTTCCTTCAAATGTGGGACATGTTATATCTCTATGTGATGATCTTTGTGTCTTGGGGAAGCAAGACTTCAAGCATATTTTAAAGTAAGCTTGTGCATAATGTAACATACAACGAACCAATCATTCACGGATAACTGTTTACCATATTTGGTGATTATGTGTTTCTCTTGAATGATTTTGTGCCTTCACTGTTTGTGTTGTGGTGTAGATAGCATATGCAAATAAGGAAGGCACTATTTCCTACAGAGAAGGCTAGGCTACTTCTGTTACGACGGCTATGGAACGGGAGGGCAAGGAAGATAAAGATGATAGGATACTTAATGAAATGGAGGAGCTGACAAATGCCATGGAGCAGAAGAAGAAAAAGGCAAAGAAACTTCTAAAAAAGAGACAAGCCAAGGTTATTGCCCGTGTTCATGAATCCCTTTTTGCTTTATTAGGTTCTTTTCTTAAGATACATAGTCAACAGATAAGATTAAGCAAACGTGGATTCGTTTGACCTATTGTCTTGGTTCTTTGAAGCTATTGTCAGTTAACATTTAATTAAGAAGGCAGGTGAATCAGTTGATGATACTACAATGCCTTTTTTTATCTGATTTTGTATAAAGTGATGGGGAATAGCCATCATGCTTGTTTTATCACTGTAGGCTTTCTACCATGCTAGATTATTTGCTGGTTAAGATGATATAGAATAGTGAAAGTTGGGTGCTATTGAAATATATTGTCAATGATGTGTGGAACAAAGCTTCTAAATTTTAGGTTTAACCAGATTCGCTAATCTAGTAACCATTTTGAAACTAATAATATAAGACTTAGAAATGTGTATCAAGGCTGGGATTTTAACCACCATGTTGGATAAGTATCACAGGGATTTTTGAGACTTGGGGTCTATTCCTAGATTAGGTTTATAGTAGAACTTTACATTCTTGATGCATTATATTAAGACTTTTAAGTCTGAATTGGTTGTTGGATGATATCATATGTCAATATTGCCTCCTAGCATGTATGTCTACCCATCAGGCTTTGATGAATTTTTCTATGTTTCTATTCCCATATCCTTTGAACATTTCTACCTATGCTATATACAAAACTTGTTCCTAATTCTTGTTAGGTTGTCCTGTATATCTTCAGCCCATATTTTCCTTTGGGTTTGTTGTTCCCTTATTGCATGTAATCTCTATTTTTGCTGTCGATATTTTCGTACTCTTTAAATACATTACTAATCCTCATTTTTACTTGTTTAAATTCAATAGATCCTGCTTTGTGTAATAAGTGCTTTCATCTTTTCTACAGGACAAAGCTAGGAAAGCATTAGGCAAGCAAATAGACACAACAAAGGATGGCTACACCGATCATAAATTGTTCTCTCTTACTTCTGTCAAGGTTTGTTTCTCCTTCATTTATCATTACATTACCGTTCGAAAGATCCGTCATTTTTAGCCTATATTAATTGGCATGCGTTTTTGTTCAGGTATGAAGTCCTGTAGCTTTCTTCTTACTCTTGGAACATTTTATAACTGTTATCTTTCATGGAAGAAATCAAATGGAAACCCAATAATGATTTTATTTTCTTATTTATGTTTATCAACTTTTACTAAATTCTACTGAATTGGTGATGTTGAGAGTTTTCCCCTTTTCAGTAACTTTGCCTTTTCACTATATAGAGTGATGGAAACTCTTCTAATCCATATTGGATTTGGTTCTCTTTTAAATATAGGAATGTCATTTCGTATATTGTGTGGGCATCTAATTGTGTACTTTTTGTCAGTTTTACATGAAATCTAGTATGTGCTTGGTCTACACCTATAATATTATTCTCTCTTTGGAATGCTTTCATTCAGGGGAAGAAAGAACTTGTGGCTGTTGATAATGATGAATATGATTGTGAAAATGATGAAATTGGAAGTAGTGACAGCGAAGGAGGCCTTGAGGAAGCCCAAGGGGACACTTATAGTGATAAAGACAATGATGAAGAACACCAACGGTAGTTGTTTCCTCTTAACTTGTACATAAGCTTGTAAAGTGTACTCTATTCTCGATTCTTTTATAAGCTAACAGTATTCTACTTTCAGGTATGGTGAGCAACTACAGGAGCTACTCGACGAAGCCTACGAAAGATTTGTAGCTAAACAGGATGGAAGTACGAAGTAGAGAAAGCGTACAAAACAAACCTATTCCTAGGGCGATCAACTCTTGGAGGTTAGCTACATTTTTCTCCTCTCCCATCAAATATGCACTAAAAAAGAATGAATGAGCTCAATTTTGTTTTCAGAAAATGTACTTCTTTGCTAAATAAGTATTTTTCTTTATGATTTGGACATGTTGACGATGACAATAACATGGTTCATTCTGATCGAGACTTCGATAATGATGGAGATCGTGAGGTGAATTCGGTTGTGGTACCACTCTTAGAGAATGCACTGAGTTAGGAGGAGATTGTAGCAAAATGGTTCAGTCAAGATACCTTTATGGACGCCGATGAAAGAGAGGATTTGGATGATGATAGTGAAGATGAAATGCAGATGGATATGCAAGTCGAACATCCCACAATTCAGGAGAAGACAATTGAAGATTCACCAGAAAAACTCAAGGGTTCAAGAAAGATGAGTAAATTACTGACAGTAAAAGTTTCCAAGATGGATGACGATTTTGAGATAGTTCCTGCTCCATATACAGATTCTAGTGATTCATCAGACGATTCAGATGAAGACGATATTGGTTCAAAAGCAGAGATATTGGCTTGTGCAAAAATGATGCTATCGAAAAAGCAGAGGGAACCGATTCTTGATGATGCGTACAATAAATATATGTTCCATGACGAGGGATTATTACCGAAGTGGTTTGTGGATGAGGAAAAGAGGAATTACCAGCCCCAATCAAGCCTGTGACAAAAGAGGAGATTGCTGCAATGAGAGCACAGTTCAAAGAAATTGATGCTCGGCCAACAAAGAAGGTAGCACAAGCGAAAGCTAGAAAGAAACGAGCTGCCCTTAGGTAGCTAGAAAATATACGTAAGAATGCGAACTCTATATCGGATCAGACAGAAATATCAAACCATCCGAAGAGTAAAATGATCGAACAACTTTATAAGAAGACAACACCTAAAAAACCTAAGAAAGAATATGTGGTAGCAAAGAAGGGCGTCCAAGTCAAAGCTAGAAAGGGGAAAGTTCTTGTTGATAGACGAATGAAAAAGATGCCAGGAAGCAGGGAATGAACAAGCGGGGGAAATAAACAGAAGGAAAGCAGAAAGGTAAAGGATCACTAAAGGGACCCGAAAAGGGGAAAGAAAAGGGAAAGGGGGAAGTAAAATGAAGTAGAGGGAAATGCATGTTTGAATGTGAGGGAGGGTTGTTCAGTAGCCAAAAAGGTTGAGAGACTTGTAACAGGGCTTCCCGTGAAGGTTATGTAGGAAGGAGACGATGTCCAGAATTGATTTGAGTCGAGATTGCACGCTTGTCGTTGCTATTATTTATTTTTAATAATTTCGTTGGTGAAGTTTCGCTTTTATTTTCTGTACTTTTTGAGTTATTGCTAAGGTATTGTTGGTGCAACAGTTTTGTTCAGTACGATAACAGTTTTGTGTTTCTCAGTAATCCATGAAAACAATTCAAAACATTGCCGTGATCAAGAATGGAAAGTTAGTTAGTAAAGTGGTAGGAAAATGACGTAAAATTGATTCCTTGCAATTAAACCACGTTATTGGTGCGTTTGGCATGCCATTTTACTATTTTAGGTCAAACGATAGATTTTTCCATAGTTGAAAGTGCAATTTGGTACTGCAACCTCTTCGTACGCATGGAGATTTGATTGACGGCGTCGTACAAAACTTAGTCTCAATGCAACCCTCCTTTTCAAACAAGCTAGTTCTCCTATCTTAAGTCGTGCCAAACACAAGTTAAATCAAAACAAGGTTCTGTTTGGGACTAGCTTATTTAACCCAACTCACTTTTACACATCTATCCTCACTCCATCAGTAGCAATTTCAAATGCTGACCATATAAGTTTACAAGAGTTTTGAGACTTCGATTTTCTTTTCTTATTTTTTTAAATAAAATTGGACATTTATTAACATTTAAAATTGTATCTAAAGTACAAACTTAACCACTGTTTGGACACACTTAACCAATGTTTAGACAAACTTAGCCACTATTTGGTGGAAGAATTTATAAAGATATAAAAATAAGTGATGAATAAATAGATAATATTTGTAAGTATATTGTAATATATGTTAAAATGTATTTTGATCATTTATAAATGATCAAAAATGTTGCCAAACGAAGGCTTTATAGCGTCACATATATGAGAATTTTGTGCATACATTAATTAATGGTTTAATATTGTATCTAAAGTACACATACTTGTAGGTAAAATTATATTCCCAGTTTTTGTTATTATACTACAAATTAATTACAATGAGGGTCCTTAACTTTTGTTCATTTTCGCACTTATGTCCTCAACATTTTTAAAAGCTCGACAAAAGATTTTTCCCACGCTAGCAGAATATTTGGACAGAAAGCGTCATTGAAGTTAAGATGCGCTAATTAATTGAAGATTAAATATAATTTTTGTTGGAAAAAGTTGAGAACAAGTGCTAGAGTGAGCTAAAATTGGAGACTTCGAAATTATAACAAGGTGCAGTTAATAAAAATTGTGGTGTGAATATAACTATTCAAGACTAAAAGGGGACTTTTTGGGCATACTTGAATTATATCTGGGTCTCTAATTTGATTAATAAACATTGAACATTCATACCAAAAAAAAAAAAATAATAAAGAGTTAAATATGAAAAAGAAAGGACAGATATCACTCATAAAACCTACATTTTGGCAGTTTATTACATATAGGGTTTTGCTATGAGTGTCATGAGGTTCACATAATGGCCAAATGACACCTCTTATTGGGGATTAGTTAGACCTCTGTAAGGGTTCACATAATGGTCAAATGGTTCCCCTATTGGGGGTCGGCTGCGCAATAGGGATACCATTTGACCATTGGGTTAATTCCACAAACGGTCACTGAAGTTACCTGAAAATAACAAATCGGTCACTAAAGTTTCAAAGTTTCAAAAATGGTCACTGAAGTTTGAAATTTCTTTCACAAATAGTCAATGAATTTTCAGATTTTTTAGGCAAGTTTGTGTCAATATTTCGGCAACTTCCGACCACCGAAACCGCCGATTTCGGATACCATTAGAAAGCCCACAATGTTCTCTTCAATTACCATAAAAAATCTCCCCATAACTTCAAGGAATTCGGCCGAAATATACCCACGAAGTCGGCTATCGAAAAATTTGAAAATTTGCCCAGATTTTCAGATTTTTTGGGTGAGTTTGCGGCAATTCTCCGACAACTTCCGACCACCAATACAACCGGTTTCGGATACCGTTAGAAAGCCCAGTATGTCATCTTCAATTACTACAAAAAATCTCCCCATAACTCTAACGGATTTAGTCGGAATAAACCCACGAAATCCGCTACCCAAACTGGGCAGATTTTCAGATTTTTTGGTATTGACTTCGTGGGTTTATTCGGGCCGAATCGCTTAGAGTTATTGGGAGATTTTTTGTGATAATTGAAGAG